TAGTTGTGTGATCGTGGTTGTGTGGCCGTAGTTGTGTGGCCGTGGTTGTGTGGCCGTAGTTGTGTGATCGTGGTTGTGTGGCTGTAGTTGTGTGGCCGTGGTTGTGTGGCCGTAGTTGTGTGATCGTGGTTGTGTGGCCGTGGTTGTGTGGCCGTGGTTGTATGACCGTGGTTGTGTGGCCGTAGTTGTGTGGCCGTGGTTGTGTGACCGGTGGTTGTGTATTCGTAGTTGTGTGGCCGTAGTTGTGTGGCCGTAGTTGTGTGGCCGTGGTTGTGTGATCGTGGTTGTGTGGCTGTGGTTGTGTAATCGTAGTTGTGTGGCCGTAGTTGTGTGATCGTGGTTGTGTGGCCGTAGTTGTGTGGCCGTGGTTGTGTGGCCGTAGTTGTGTGATCGTGGTTGTGTGGCTGTAGTTGTGTGGCCGTGGTTGTGTGGCCGTAGTTGTGTGATCGTGGTTGTGTGGCCGTGGTTGTGTGGCCGTGGTTGTATGACCGTGGTTGTGTGGCCGTAGTTGTGTGGCCGTGGTTGTGTGACCGTGGTTGTGTATTCGTAGTTGTGTGGCCGTAGTTGTGTGGCCGTAGTTGTGTGGCCGTAGTTGTGTGGCCGTGGTTGTGTGACCGTGGTTGTGTAATCGTAGTTGTGTGTGGCCGTAGTTGTGTGGCCGTGGTTGTGTGGCCGTGGTTGTGTGGCCGTAGTTGTGTGATCGTGGTTGTATGACCGTGGTTGTGTGGCCGTGGTTGTGTGGCCGTGGTTGTGTGGCCGTAGTTGTGTGGCCGTAGTTGTGTGGCCGTAGTTGTGTGGCCGTGGTTTGTGTGATCGTGGTTGTATGACCGTGGTTGTGTGGCCGTAGTTGTGTGGCCGTAGTTGTGTGGCCGTGGTTGTGTGATCGTGGTTGTATGACCGTGGTTGTGTGGCCGTAGTTGTGTGGCCGTAGTTGTGTGGCCGTGGTTGTGTGATCGTGGTTGTATGACCGTGGTTGTGTTACGATGGGCCCGACATCTGCTGCTCCATGTGGGGATGTGAGGACCGGGGTGGATGGCTGTTTGAGTGGCAGGTCTAATAACGGCCGAGCGTGTGCACGGAGCAGATGTGGACCGGATGTTTCTCACAGCGCAAGAAAAAACAAACTGAATAAACAAAAAACAAAATCCTGCTTCAGAGTCTGTTTCAATTATCTCCCAGGTTGCACCGGGTTTGCTTCATAAACAGGGGGTATTAGAAAACAGGCAACATTATGAATTTTGTTAGTAGTTTCAGATTTAAGCAATTCTTCATCTTTAGAGTAAAATATTGACGCCGGTAGATCTTGTTTTTCCGTTGAATTATTTTGTATTAGTCCAAACCCTACAGACTGTTCCTGGTGAGTTCCTGCTTCAATTCAATGTATTTTTGTGAATCACTGAATCAAAACAGCAGTCGTCTGTACAAAGCTGTCGATTCACCAACAATAGATCAGAAAATCAAACGGATCAAACACAGGAAATATAATTATAACAAAAATATAGGAGCCGTTGGTCCAAAACTAAAGAATATTTATGTTGTAGACACACAAAACATTATATACGGTTTGTTTCTAAAAGGAAAATAAGAAATATGGGTTCACTTCATAAAGTGAAAAACAATGACAATGAATGTAAGTGATGACTTGGAGTGAAGGCACACAGTCTTCTATATATAAACATAAGTAAGGCACACAGTCTTCTATATATAAACATAAGTAAGGCACACAGTCTTCTATATATAAACATAAGTAAGGCACACAGTCTTCTATATATAAACATAAGTAAGGCACACAGTCTTCTATATATAAACATAAGTAAGGCACACAGTCTTCTATATATAAACATAAGTAAGGCACACAGTCTTCTATATATAAACATAAGTAAGGCACACAGTCTTCTATATATAAACATAAGTAAGGCACACAGTCTTCTATATATAAACATAAGTAAGGCACACAGTCTTCTATATATAAACATAAGTAAGGCACACAGTCTTCTATATATAAACATAAGTAAGGCACACAGTCTTCTATATATAAACATAAGTAAGGCACACAGTCTTCTATATATAAACATAAGTAAGAGATAATGTAGAGGACGCAGGTCATTATCGGATAATATGACCTGCGTCATAGGGCGGACGCAGACCCCGGTTCGCCCTGAAGGTACTTACTTTCTCATAATGATCTGCGTTCTAGACATTCTGCCGCTTATTATCCGGCTTTGTGCAACTGAAAACACAAAATAATCAGTCCACGTTCATGAATGCAAAAGGTTTGTTTAACAACTGCAAAAAAAAATAGTTCCCAAAGGATTTGCTGTGCCGTGGATAGGCTAGTAACAGCTAGGCTAGTAACAGCTAGGCTAGTAACAGCTAGGCTAGTAACAGCTAGGCTAGTAACAGCTAGGCTAGTAACAGCTAGGCTAGTAACAGCTAGGTTAGTAACAGCTAGGCTAGTAACAGCTAGGTTAGTAACAGCTAGGCTAGTAACAGCTAGGTTAGTAACAGCTAGGCTAGTAACAGCTAGGCTAGTAACAGCTAGGCTAGTAACAGCTAGGCTAGTAACAGCTAGGCTAGTAACAGCTAGGCTAGTAACAGCTAGGCTAGTAACAGCTAGGCTAGTAACAGCTAGGCTAGTAACAGCTAGGCTAGTAACAGCTAGGTAGTAACAGCTAGGCTAGTAACAGCTAGGCTAGTAACAGCTAGGCTAGTAACAGCTAGGCTAGTAACAGCTAGGCTAGTAACAGCTAGGCTAGTAACAGCTAGGCTAGTAACAGCTAGGCTAGTAACAGCTAGGCTAGTAACAGCTAGGCTAGTAACAGCTAGGTTAGTAACAGCTAGGCTAGTAACAGCTAGGCTAGTAACAGCTAGGCTAGTAACAGCTAGGTTAGTAACAGCTAGGCTAGTAACAGCTAGGCTAGTAACAGCTAGGCTAGTAACAGCTAGGCTAGTAACAGCTAGGCTAGTAACAGCTAGGCTAGTAACAGCTAGGCTAGTAACAGCTAGGCTAGTAACAGCTAGGCTAGTAACAGCTAGGCTAGTAACAGCTAGGCTAGTAACAGCTAGGCTAGTAACAGCTAGGCTAGTAACAGCTAGGCTAGTAACAGCTAGGCTAGTAACAGCTAGGCTAGTAACAGCTAGGCTAGTAACAGCTAGGCTAGTAACAGCTAGGCTAGTAACAGCTAGGCTAGTAACAGCTAGGCTAGTAACAGCTAGGCTAGTAACAGCTAGGCTAGTAGTGACAGCTAGGCTAGTAACAGCTAGGCTAGTAACAGCTAGGCTAGTAACAGCTAGGCTAGTAACAGCTAGGTTAGTAACAGCTAGGCTAGTAACAGCTAGGCTAGTAACAGCTAGGCTAGTAACAGCTAGGCTAGTAACAGCTAGGCTAGGTAGTAACAGCTAGGCTAGTAACAGCTAGGCTAGTAACAGCTAGGCTAGTAACAGCTAGGCTAGTAACAGCTAGGCTAGTAACAGCTAGGCTAGTAACAGCTAGGCTAGTAACAGCTAGGCTAGTAACAGCTAGGCTAGTAACAGCTAGGTTAGTAACAGCTAGGCTAGTAACAGCTAGGCTAGTAACAGCTAGGCTAGTAACAGCTAGGCTAGTAACAGCTAGGCTAGTAACAGCTAGGCTAGTAACAGCTAGGCTAGTAACAGCTAGGCTAGTAACAGCTAGGCTAGTAACAGCTAGGCTAGTAACAGCTAGGCTAGTAACAGCTAGGCTAGTAACAGCTAGGCTAGTAACAGCTAGGCTAGTAACAGCTAGGCTAGTAACAGCTAGGCTAGTAACAGCTAGGCTAGGTAACAGCTAGGCTAGTAACAGCTAGGCTAGTAACAGCTAGGCTAGTAACAGCTAGGCTAGTAACAGCTAGGCTAGTAACAGCTAGGCTAGTAACAGCTAGGCTAGTAACAGCTAGGCTAGTAACAGCTAGGCTAGTAACAGCTAGGCTAGTAACAGCTAGGCTAGTAACAGCTAGGCTAGTAACAGCTAGGCTAGTAACAGCTAGGCTAGTAACAGCTAGGTTAGTAACAGCTAGGCTAGTAACAGCTAGGCTAGTAACAGCTAGGTTAGTAACAGCTAGGCTAGTAACAGCTAGGTTAGTAACAGCTAGGCTAGTAACAGCTCGTCTTGTGAGTCACTGTTTGATGCTTTGGGAGGAGAGCTGATTGGCTGAGTGAAGGTGGAGAGCTGATTGGCTGAGTGAAGGAGGAGAGCTGATTGGCTGAGTGAAGGAGGAGAGCTGATTGGCTGAGTGAAGGAGGAGAGCTGATTGGCTGAGTGAAGGAGGAGAGCTGATTGGCTGAGTGAAGGAGGAGAGCTGATTGGCTGAGTGAAGGAGGAGAGCTGATTGGCTGAGTGAAGGAGGAGAGCTGATTGGCTGAGTGAAGGAGGAGAGCTGATTGGCTGAGTGAAGGAGGAGAGCTGATTGGCTGAGTGAAGGAGGAGAGCTGATTGGCTGAGTGAAGGAGGAGAGCTGATTGGCTGAGTGAAGGTGGTCTTCTCTTGTTCACGTTTTGGTCTGAAAAAGCTGATCTAAAGATGTGACACAAATACAGGCATGAAAACTTCCTAATCGTCACAGATCCAAACTGTTGTGGGAACTAGCTACATTGGAAAGTCATGTCACTGTTGCTTTTACCTGGAGCGAGATAAAGTCGAAAGAAGCAAATGCCAAAATAGTTTTTCCCTAACCCTAAAATCCATTTGACTCTAAAAACCAGCAATCATTTTGTTCATAAAAAACAGACTTAATCTTGCACCTGTGCTGTTGCCTTGGAAACAACCAGGGCTATACAGCTCCAAATGGTCCCATTTGGTCGTGTTGGATTTGGACTGACTCCGTTACAATCTCTGGTTCTGAACCGTGTCATAAAACCTAATTCATTAACGAGCTCCGTTCTCCCACAGTCGTCCACATCCTCGCCCAGAAAAATGAACTGCCGCTTTATTAATCCTCCTGGAGTGTTTCTAATGGACCGGACGTATGGACCCGGGCCTGCTGCTACCGACGGCCAAACGGCGTCCCAGGGGATCCCAGGGCCAAAGGGGATCCCAGGGCCAAAGGGGATCCCAGGGCCAAAGGGGGTCCCAGGGCCAAAGGGGATCCCAGGGCCAAAGGGGATCCCAGGGCCAAAGGGGGTCCCAGGGCCAAAGGGGATCCCAGGGCCAAAGGGGATCCCAGGGCCAAAGGGGGTCCCAGGGCCAAAGGGGATCCCAGGGCCAAAGGGGATCCCAGGGCCAAAGGGGGTCCCAGGGCCAAAGGGGATCCCAGGGCCAAAGGGGATCCCAGGGCCAAAGGGGATCCCAGGGCCAAAGGGGGTCCCAGGGCCAAAGGGGGTCCCAGGGCCAAAGGGGATCCCAGGGCCAAAGGGGATCCCAGGGCCAAAGGGGGTCCCAGGGCCAAAGGGGATCCCAGGGCCAAAGGGGATCCCAGGGCCAAAGGGGGTCCCAGGGCCAAAGGGGGTCCCAGGGCCAAAGGGGGTCCCAGGGCCAAAGGGGGTCCTGGCTCAGACTGGATCACAGAGCGCTCGACTAATGCAGTGTTGTGTGTGTTGCTGTGCGGAGATGAGACAAGCCTTTCCTTTCTGCAGCTGTCAGACTGTACAACGAACAATGAGGATTACCAAACACTGCCGACCTGACCTCACATGTCACGCATCGGTGCAGAATATTGTGACTACTACAATGTAGAATGTGTTACTACTTTGAAGTTTAGTATTTAGAGCAGTTATTTTCTGTAAATCACGGGAATATATACTTTCTCACATCTATATTTTGAAATAGACCTTTATAACTTAAAAAAATATAAATTATATTTCTTCAAGTAAGAAAATGTATTCTGCTCCAGAATACTGAATACATGACGTAAAATGTATTTGGTATCATATTCCATTAACTCCAAATACTTTATTTTTGATTTTAATTTTGTATTTATTTATTTTAATGTATTATTTATATACTTTTTAAATTCATGTTTATTTATATACTTTTTAAATTCATGTTTATTTACAAAACTTATAAAAGGTACATTTAACAATATTTAAATCCACAACCTCAATAAATGTTTAAATAAGTAAAACATTTTTATTTTATAAAACAAGTCAAAGCTCTCCAACAGCTGAATTTAACAGAACAAATATAATCTTCACTTTGAGAAAACGTGATGTTTTATACAAACACATTATTAATACACATGCACAGAGGTTTTCAGAATTATTTGTTTTCATGAAAAAAATAATGTTTTTATGCACAAAAAAAGCGATCGCGGCAAACCCGGAACAAGCTATTATCATGAATTGAACATGAACAACATGATTATGGATATAGGTTCAGCATGCTAATAATATAGCATCTTCTTTCCTCTCAAAAACGTCTTCACAGAATGGTCCAAAAGTGGCTCTTGGTCCAAAGCTTCGTTCCAGATGTTGTCAATGTTGAAGCTAGCGTATATTTTTGGACCAGTCTAGTTTAGCCGCTGTGGAATTTTGAATTCACTCGTCAAATGAATGGGGCTGGTGCAGCTGACGCATGTGTTTATTCACATTTTCCAGCCCCTGCGGCCATTTTGAAACTGCCCATAGACGGCGAAAGTGGTGGTACATTAGTCTGAACGGCAGGGAAAGGCGTGACTTCGTCTGCTAATATACACAGTTGATGATTGACGCCTTTGGCCTCAGACAAATGCAGCTTGTGTTTCATCGACAGAACCGGATTCTCCTCGGGGTCACATGAACCAGACGTGTCCACTTTTGCTTATTGACAATAAACCATGAAAACCTACCATGGATTTGACATTCCAGCGTAAAAACACACTAAGATGTCACGACCACCGCCATGATGAACTCGGGGTCATGTGGCGAGCAAAAGGCCGAGCAGGTTATTTGCGTGGACAGCTGAAGTAATGAGGCATCGGCGCCATCGACCGCCGCCGCTCAATAAGGCGTGATTAAAGCAGCCATGGCCCGACGGATCCTACGACATCAGGGAAAGAAACCACTGCTGCTTCATATGTTTTCTTTAAAGGAGATTTTATTGGTGGCTGAGTGGATAGCACTCTCAGCAAGAAGGTCCTGGGTTCGAATCCCGGTCGGACCAGGGTCTTTCTGAGTGGAGTTTACATGTTCTCCCCGTGTCTGCGTAGGTTTCCTCCGGGTACTCCGGTTTCCCCTACCACTAAAAATATGTACAATAGGCCTGACATGCGCCTCCTGTACTGGCCCCGCTCCCATCTCTGTGTGGAGTGAGAGACAAATGCCCAAAAATTAACAATTGTAAACAGCTTTGAGACTCAGATTTGCAGTGAAAAGGCGTTATATAAATAAAGATTACTTACTACTACAATATGTGAGGCCGACAAATGCATGTGACTGAGGAAGTAGACAGAACATAGTACATGGCTTTGTTTTTGGGGTTTGACGGTTACCAGCTTTATGAAAGGACTCTATTGTATTGATGCTAATAATTGTGTTATCGGCCAAATCAAGACTTACTTCCAAAACTTTATCAGTCTTGGGCATATCAGTTAGATCTCACTCTGATGACTTGTGATTTTCAGCACTTTGGTTGAACTCTGTGAGGTTACATTTCCTCTTCTCACGTCTGTGTTTTTACATGATTCACACTCAGCTCTTTGAACATGAATGCACTTTTTGTGTTTTTGCAGTAGACATGTGAGACGCACCACTCGCCTCTGACCACGTTTGGACACAAGACACAAGTCCTCGTTCATCTTCAGGACAATTCAAACACATGGAAAGCAGAACAGGAACAATATATTTACTTATAACTTTGAGCAAATGTAATGTAAATTCTTGTGTTTCATTAAACTGGCCTGTAGGGGGCGCATGAGCAGAGATGGGACAGTGTTGCTCCCATTGAAAACCATGTAAAGTCTGTTTTGGAGTCAAAGGATCTCCTCCTGTGCGGTGTACGGTTGTTGGAACAGTCTTAATCGGGGACACTCAATTCTAATATTTATCTAAAGAGTCTTGATTTTGGGCATTTTTGGAAAGAAAAACAGAAGAAATGGCTGCTTTTCATTGGGGTGGCCTGCAGGGGGCGCTTATCTGGGAAAGCCTTGATCCACCTCGCTCGCCTCATTCCAGTGATGTTTTCAAAGTGTCCTCCTTTATATGAGACACAGTTGGAACATGAACAAACTCTGGTCTTTCTCTATTTGTGCAGTTGCTACAAACGAACACCGCACAAAAAGATGGCATTTTGACAGCGCTTCTTCTTCTACTATATCTCCGTGTATAAACCACTTCTTCTTAGTAAGTAAGTAAGTAAGTAAGTAAGTAAGCTTTATTTATATACCGCCTTTCACAGACCAGAGTCACAAAGCGGTTTACAATTGTTATTTTTTGGGCACTTATCCTCTCACTCCACACAGAGATGGGAGCGGGGTCGCCGAACAGGAGGCGCATGCCAGACCTATTGTACATATTTTTAGTGGTAGGGGAAACCGGAGTACCCGGAGGAAACCTACGCAGACACGGGGAGAACATGCAAACTCTACTCCACTTCTTCTACTATATCTCCGTGTATAAACCCGACAGACTGCACCGCCAGGATACGTCACGTCCTGTCCTACGTTTGTTATTCGCCACTGCCCTGACGTCAGATGAAACCCAAGAATACATTCCAGTAAAACTGGCGCTTCTATTTAGTGATTGTTTATAGCTCCATGGTCGTGTTGCATCTTTCAACCATAAAGTCACACTGTGTAGTTTTTACTCCCATCTAGTGTTGAGATCATATATTGCAGTCCAGGGTTCTACGAGCGTCGTCTTTGACCGTGTTCCCCAACTCCCAGAGAAGTAGATCCAACTCTAAGACTGGGAAACAATTCAAAAACATGGTTGAGGTAAATATTCTTAAAAAGGTAATTTGTTTTGGTTTATTTATTTAGAGCAGCTGTAGAAAATACACAGAGTACCTTTAGAGCTTTACACTGCAAAAAATGATAATATATAAGGTGATAAATGCCTGAATCAAGTGGTTTTATCTGAATTTGCGCACATTTTGTCTAAAAACAAACAAGATTTGCCATTGGGACAAGCAAAAATGTCTTGTTTTAAAACGGTACAAGACAAATCAAGAAATGTCTCCCTTGGAATGAGACAAAAATTGCAACCGCACTTGAAAAAAGATCAAATGGCTTGTTCCGTTGGCAACTCTTGTTTTAAGATGTATACCTCCCTTTTCAATGGAATAAAAACACATATTTTAATCATTTTTTTTGTGGCTCCAGCGCCCGATCAGCCCAAAATACGACCCTTGCGTCCGTGTGTATATACAGTCTGTCATGTGTAGAGCGTGGGCGTACAGCACTTTCTGATTCCGGTCTCGCTACACCTACATCCAGAGTGTTGTTGTAGGTATTTTCATGTTACTGGTTTTTGAACAGTGTGTGAAAAAAAAAAGTGTGCTCAGCTAAAAAGATTGTTATTCGCACAATAAAAAAACACATTAGTAGATATTATTATTATCCACCCACTCAATCGTGCAATAGCAATAGCTTCACATCATTTCCAGCAGATGTAAAGTTTTTTGAGTGGGCTGGAAACGTGTCTAACTCCAGGCTGCTTCTCCGACAGAAAACAAGGAAAAGAATATTCCAGTGGAGCTGAGCCGCACTCCACTCACAAGTGTTTAATCAGCGCCGAAAGAGTTCAGCCCCAAACACTCGACCCCGGCCCCGACAGGCTTCAGACCGAGGGAAGAGCCACCGCCGAAATGTTTCAGACCGGGGGAAGAGCCACCGCCAAAATGTTTCAGACCGGGGGAAGAGCCACCGCCGAAATGTTTCAGACCGGGGGAAGAGCCACCGCCGAAATGTTGTGAAATACTCCGGCCTCCTACTCTGTGCCGTCTGTGCTGGAGTCACATGATCAACACATGACATCGAAATGACTTTAAAGGAGCAGTTTGTAAAAATGTGGCCAAAAGTGGTACTGCAGCCTCTCCCACTCTCCCTGACTCAGGTTGCCAGATATGCAGACGAATCCAGCTGGGACCATAACAACTGAATAGACAAGAGTTTTGTCAACAACAAATCTATAACCAGTTGTGGATGCACGTTCACGTGCGCCGGTTGTTCTGGTTTGGTGAAGAGGCGAGGTGAGGGGGGAGTGGTTTCGAGTTGGTGCTACGGCTAAGCTAACAAAATCGCGTACTGCATCTTTAAGTTTAACCCTTTAACAGTCATCAAATATTAAGCATTTTTTTGAGATTTTTTAAGAGGAAGGAACACTAATAACTTTTTAATGATGGGCCTTTACAAAATGGTTGAGAAGTAGTTTAATGGTAAAAGTGCCCAAAATCAAGAGAGATTCCCCAAAGAAGAAATACTAAAGTAGATGAATGAAGTAGAGGAAACCATTAAAGGGTTAACATGTAATTTAAAGGGCCAGTGTCGGTTTAGTAAGTTAGTAATCTGTGTTTAAATAGTGCTTTTCACAGACCAGGTGGGAGAGTAGTTGTCTTTGAGTCTGAAGGTCAGGGGTCGAGTCCACCACGAGACTTCCAGATCCAGATCCAGATCCAGTTTATTTTCCATTTGCAGTAAAGCCACATTGGAATAGAGCCGCAAACGTCCCCAGTGTGCACCAGACAAACAAGGTTAACATAGATTACTGTCTTAGCTAAACCAAAAACAGTTTCAGTAAATCTCCACCGACTCCCACTGACGTCTGCTGTCGTTGCGTCCTTGGGCAAGACACTTAACAGCCATTTTCCCCCCAGACCTAGAAATGGACAAAGTGGAAGAAAACAGATGGATCCTATCTCATATAAAAAAAGAAAACATCTGGATGTCATAACATTGAGCATTCCATTTATGAGAGAAAGATGAATCTCCTACTTTCAACTTTAGACGACAAACCGCGAGAAGGTTGAAGTCCGAGGATCTGAGACGACACGGTTCTTCGCAAACAGCACAAACCATAAATATACAGAGCTGTTAGACTGTAGAAAAAGGCTCTAATGCCCAGGGTCATCATTGTGATTCAGAGATGAAGGTTGTGTATGTGGGGGTGGTAACACAATCATCGCACAGGACTATAAAAGACTAAACACCATATCCTTTGTATTTGCTTTTATCTAAGCTCCATAAATAAAGGCTGGACTTTCTTGGCCGGAGTTTTGTTTTTGACCTGTCCTGTTGTTCCAAATGGACTTCCAAAGTACCCGCGGCTGTGCGTTTCGTTCCAGATGATAATTTGTAGAGCCTCGACCCGGACAATACATTCAGATTTGTCGTCTGCCTGAACAAGGTGCCCTTACGTCGCTGACTGCCTCCTCCACGGCCGACTCTGCAACAAAAAATATGACGGGAGTAATACAAATGAATGTTATAGCGGCCTCTCATTTCATTAAGTGAAGCAAAGCAAACACTGGACTCGCCGCATCACTTTCCATTTGCCTAAGTAGCCGCGGACAGCCCAGCGGACAGCCCAGCGGACAGCCCGGCGGACGGCCCGGCGGACGGCCCGGCGGACGGCCCGGCGGACGGCCCGGCGGACGGCCCGGCGGACAGCCCGACGAACTGCAGAGCGACGGCGGCTCGAGGATCGCTGCTAAAACAAGAATATGAGATGTGAAATTACTCATGAAACTTAGGCCCAGATTTAAGCCTGGATGACCCACCTACCGCCCGACGCAAACACAGCCACATCTGTAGTGTAGGTGTCTGTTGTGTGTCCTCTGCGTGCTTGTATATAGTAGTAATTTAAAGAGTACTCCTTTTGTTTTATATATTTTTATCACCTTGAATTATTCCAAACGGCATAACAGCCTGGAAGCTCCATCCATCCATTTTTTTCCTATTAGTCCATTTCTGCCGGACAGATTAGTGCCCTTTAATGATGACAGATTAGAGCCCTTTAATGATGACGGATTAGGGCCCTTTAATGATGACAGATTAGAGCCCTTTAATGATGACAGATTAGAGCCCTTTAATGATGACAGTTTAGGGCCCTTTCATGATGACAGAATAGGGCCCTTTAATGATGACAGATTAGGGCCCTTTAATGATGACAGATTAGAGCCCTTTAATGATGACAGATTAGGGCCCTTTAATGATGACAGATTAGAGCCCTTTAATGATGACAGTTTAGGACCCCTTCATGATGACAGATTAGGGCCCTTTAATGATGACAGATTAGAGCCCTTTAATGATGACACATTAGAGCCCTTTAATGATGACAGATTAGGGCCCTTTAATGATGACAGATTAGTGCCCTTTAATGATGACAGATTAGGGCCCTTTAATGATGACAGTTTAGGGCCCTTTAATGATGACAGATTAGAGCCCTTTAATGATGACAGATTAGGGCCCTTTAATGATGACAGTTTAGAGCCCTTTAATGATTACAGATTGGAGCCCTTTAATGATGACAGTTTAGGGCCCTTTAATGATGACAGATTAGGGCCCTTTAATGATGACAGTTTAGAGCCCTTTAATGATTACAGATAGGAGCCCTTTAATGATGACAGATTAGAGCCCTTTAATGATGACAGATTAGAGCCCTTTAACGATGACAGACTAGGGCCCTTTAATGATGACAGATTAGTGCCCTTTAATGATGACAGTTTAGAGCCCTTTAATGATTACAGATTGGAGCCCTTTAATTATGACAGATTAGGGCCCTTTAATGATGACAGATTAGAGCCCTTTAATGATGACAGATTAGTGCCCTTTAATGACGACATGAAAATCTTACATATTTCTACTTTAAGTGTCTTGCACAGTTACATCAGTGGGAGTCGTTGGAGAAGATCTTTGGTGGGATCGTTTTCTCGAGCTTCGGGCTCAAAGGCCAATGCTCCACCAACTGAGCCACTGTCGCCCCCTTTTCCTGGAAACTCGAGCATATTTTTTTGCATGGATTAGGGGCCAATCATAGGACAGGGAGGGACGGAAAGGCATCCATCTTGCTGGTGAAGGAAATATTTGTGTGAAAGGAGCTACTTCTATAAAAACAAATAATGGAGGAGGACTGCATAAATATGACAATAAAGTATCGGATTGTGATTATAGCCGTGGCAGCTGTTTCAATCTGACCATTCTGCTAACGTAATGCTAGCTACACATTTGCATTCCGTCTGTATCCCATGTATCATAACCTTTGGAAGTCTCTGATGGTATTTTGATCGTTATTGAAATCTGTAGAGTGAGACGACATGGTTATTATCTCTGCAGATTTGTTATTTTTGTGTGTGTCTGTGTGTGTGTCTGTGACTGCATGTGTGTTTGTGTGTGTGTGCGTGCATGTGTGTTTGTGTGTGTGTGTGTGGGCCGATCAATTCAGCCTTTGTTTGGAGATTATTTTAATGTCACCACACACAAAAAAAAGAACTTTTAGCCCTGCGGTCATGGGAAAAGTTGGCCACAGTTGGGATTGTGGATAAGGTGGAATAATGGCATTTTCTGTGTCTGAAACCATCGCACACAGTCTGGGCTGCGCTGGTCTGGGCCGCGCTGGTCTGGGCCGCGCTGGTCTGGGCCGCGCTGGTCTGAGTGTTGTTTGTATAGTTTAGGTATCCATAGAAAAATTACTATACATATACTGTACATGTGTAGAAGGACATTGTTACAGTTTCCAGAGGTTTTAACCCAAGAAAGGCAAATGCTACTTGAGAGAAAAGTAACTGGAGGAGTCAGAAAATCACAGAATTTTCTCTGATAAGTTGAAAGGAGGTTTGTGCAAATGATCATGTTAATCATCGTGACATTTACTGCCTGGTAATCGAAACAGCTAGATAATTTACCTTAATTCAATGTATTTTTGTTAATCTGTTTTATCTTTGAGAATAAAACAGTTCAACCAATGGAAATGCATGATACAAAAATAAATACAAAAAACATATAGAGCCATTGGTCCTTAAGGGGAGGATGAAGCATGGCGGAGACGGCTGCGTCGCGGAAGGCAGCTCCAACAGTTGTAACAAAAAGTGTATCTCTAAGTGGTTTGTTGGGCTCCATGCAGAGTATACTGTTATACTGTTGCAACATATCTGCTGCTACTAAACGCCGAGACATTCATAACATCAAGCAGCCACTCACGCTTAAGGAACGTTTTTGGAGTCGCCGCTGTCAAGACAAACGCAAGCGGCTCACATCAAAGGCACCTGCCGTGTCGTCACAAACCATGGCAATCTGTGTCGGACTCCTCTTTCTCCCGCTGTGGTATATTTGCTTCGTACAGAGGCATCTGCTCCTCAACTCATTGAGACATATGATCTCATTCAACTTTTTAAAGACTGGATATGGACACAGTATACTATCTGCAATCCTGAACAATGGCGTTGTTCAAACGAAAGAAGTAATTAAAATAACAAAGACCCATAAGCATAAACAAGAACTGAAATGGGCAAGAATACGACTATATTTATTGCTTCTGCTACTGGCTGGGGATATACATCAAAACCCTGGGCCCGTTACGCACGGCGGCCACACAATAAACTCTGGAGAGGGACCTCATATCTCGGATGAGCTGAGGCTACATGCACCGCCTGGGAACGGAACATCCTTACAACCTAACCCGGAGCCAAGCTTTGTTTTGGCCCATCCAACACTCTCTGCACTATCAGCGGATCATGGAGAAATCCGCGGGGGTATGGTCTCGCTAGACCAGGTCGAGATGGTGCAGCGCGCACCGGAGGAGCTGATAGCTACCACCAGGGCGCATGCGGAAACAAACACGCCTGGCTTGCTGGAGACTAAAAATCCCCTGCAACAAGAAAACACCGCAAGCATGTCACTGCCTTCGAGCAGTGGCAGAAGCGAAACAGACCCAACAGTGGACATTGTGAACCTAAATGGGCCAGAATGTTCCAAACCGAGAACCATCGCAACACGAACTGTGAGTCACCCACAACATATTTTCTCCACTGTTAACAATTCACAAATTATATGGAACTGGGACAGCAAACCAAAAGGCATCTTTGGAGCCCACTTGAACGTACGTAGCCTTTTACCAAAACATAATGAAATAAAGTCACTCTTAATTGACTCGAATTTACATTTTCTGGGTCTCTCAGAAACATGGCTCCAGGATAAAATACATACCAGCTTCCTAGATGTTCCTGGTTATAACTGCTTTAGAAAAGACAGGGTTAACAGTAAAGGTGGAGGGGTGGCCATCTATGTACGCGACTCAATTAAATGCACTGAATCAATGATTGACAGCAACGTGCAAATTGAATATCTGTGTATCAATATCTCTCTGTCACCTCGAATGCACTTTATGATTATGGTACTGTATAACCCACCTTCTGCTAATGTTGATATTTTTTGTGATAACCTTCAGAAACTGTTAAAGATGGTGTCACCAAAATCTGAACTGATAATAATGGGGGATTTTAACATAGACTGGTTTAACAAAACAAAAAGGAAGAAATTAAAAATGCTGATGGCCAAGTTTGATTTCAAACAGTATATCAAGGGACCCACAAGAATCACAAAAACAAGTAAAACTCCGATAGATCTAATTTTCTCAAACAAGGACAGAATTCTCAAGTCATATAATTTTCTGACCGGATTGTCTGATCATAATATGACGCTAGTGGTAAGAAAGTTATCAAAGAAACGGTTTGCAAAGAGTAGTGGCATACAATCAAAGACCCAGATAATCCCCAAAAATGCCATCCCTAAATTAGATAATGACCTCAAACAATTAAACTGGAGCAATTTAGTGGCTGGAGACAGTAGCGTTGATAGTAGTTTCAGGAAAATGATGGATACAATTGGAGAGCTTGTAAACAAGTATTTGAAAACTAGGAAAAATAGGAAAATGAACACACAAATCTTTACCTTGGATTAGTGAATCTATCAGAAAACTTATGAAGCAACGTGACCTAGCTTTAAAGCAGGCCATCAAAAGCAAAATTAATATTGATATGATTGTGTATAAAAATCTAAGAAACAGAGTAACTAAAGATATAAGAATCGCTAGAAACGCTTTTTATATTTCCACAATTAATGAGGCCAGAGGAAATCCATCTGCCATGTGGAAAACAATAAACAACATTATAAAACCAAAAGGGAAACCATCACAGATACTTGAACTCAAAATTGATGAAAAGCTCATAAGTGAAAATAAACAGATTGCTCACCAATTCAATAGCTATTTTGTTTCATCAGCTGAAGAATTGACTAACAGCTTCTGCTTAGGTTCCAGGATGGAACCTCAGCATAATGTTAGCTCAATACAGTTTCCATTTTCCCTAGAACAAACTACTGAGTCTGAGGTCATGGCAATTATTGACAAAATAAACAACAGTTACACTAAAGATCTCCTCCAATTTGACACAGCATTTCTGAAAAGTATTGGCAAAACCCCTAACTGATTTGATAAATCTTTCTCTAAAACATGGAGAATATCCAACTGTCTGGAAACAATCGAGGGTAATACCAATTCACAAATCCGGAGACAAAAGTCAGGTTTGCAACTACAGGCCAATAAGTATCCTGCCGGTCTTCTCTAAGGTGCAGGAGAAGACCGTAGCAAACCAGCTAATGTCATTTTTACACCTCAACAACATACTGCACCCTCTGCAATTTGGGTTTCGGCCACAGTACTCAACTGAAACTGCCAGATGTTATTTTATTGAACAACTTAAGTCAGCCATTGACAAAGGCTTGATGGTTGGAGCAGTATTTTTGGACTTAAAAAAGGCATTTGACGTTCTAGACCATGATCTCCTTGTGCTCAAACTATCTGGACTAGACTTTGAAGAACCAGCACTGCAGTGGTTCAAGACATATCTGGAACAGAGACAACGGTGTGTAATAATCAATAACGAAAAGTCATCCTTTTTATCATTAAAATCAGGAGTCCCGCAGGGATCAATATTGGGCCCACTTCTCTTTACACTTTACATTAATGACTTACCAAACGCATGCCCGCAGGAGCAGGTATCCAACTGTATGCAGACGATGCAGTTGTATATGTGAGTGGCAAAACAATTGAAACCATTACTGCACAGCTACAGCACCATCTAGAGGCTGTAGCAGAATGGTTTCAAAATTCTGGTCTTACTTTAAATGTCAGTAAAACAAAATCTGTCTGTTTTTCATCTAGAACACGTCCCACTGAGAACCTACCCCTAACAATTGACAGGCAACACATTGAGCAAGTGAGAGAATTCAAATATTTAGGCCTAATTCTGGACTCTAGCTTGCAATTTGACAGTCACATTAACAAGATTGTAAAAAGGACTAAATCAAGTTTGCATAGTTTCAGATTAATCAGAGATTGTTTACCTTTCAACGCAGCCAATATCTTTCTATACGCCATGATTTTTTCTCAGATAAGTTACTGTATCACCTGCTGGTCCCAGGCCACAGCCTCTTCCATCAAACCAGTAAGAATGCTCTACAACAGAGCCATAAAAATACTGGACAAAAAGCCAATAAGAACACACCATCACCAGGTGTTGCAGAGACTACATTTTCTTAGTTTTGATAATTTTATTAAATTTTGTAACTGTAAATTATTGTACAAATGTTTGCACAGTCGAGCCCCTGCTGTCCTGAGTGCTCTCCTAGTTCCTCTGAGATCCGTCACACGGGGCTCCTCTAACGGGAATGTGAAAGTGCCCCTCAGGAGAACCACATTCGGACAGTCGGTCTTCTCGGTCCAGGGGGCAAAGCTCTGGAACTCTTTAAGCCCTCAGCTAAAACTGAACTCTGACTGGGCTGGTTTTAAACATGAACTAAAGCGATTTCTTAAAACAAACCAGGTGTGTGAGCATCAAAGAGTTGGAGAACATCTGCTTTTGTATAATGTGAATTTTATAATGTATAATGTGTTTTAATTGTGTTAAAAGCCCTCCTAGGGACGGACATTGCAAACTAGCCTTGGCTATAAATGTTTTAATGTTTCACATGTTGATTGTGTACACTTGTCCCTATCAAATAAATCAATAAATAAATAAATAAATAAATCATACTAGCTACAGATGTATAGGTGTATAGATTATAGCCTGTCAACTCCCGCCCACATGTTTCGGACAAACACTGCCGAAATGAATCATATACCACTTGTCACTTTAGACGAAAATGATATACCAGGAGCAAAATTCCACCATCAAACCATCAGTAGTGTAGACCAATTAAAACGTTAGGCTTGAATGTCGTGGTCTCAGTAACTGGTAGAAAGTTTGAATTGATAAAAAGGTAATGGTGAGGATTATGCCAACATTATCTAGTCATTTAAATTGCAATGCTAGCGCCTTCTTTGTTTATTTTGCTGTGATTAACTTCCATTTATCAAGTTGTTTTTTTGCACTATCCACTTGTAATTAGTTTGATCATATAGTTAGCTACTGTCAGCCGATATTATAATAGATCCATGGGTCACAACGGGCTACGCCACTACTGTCTCTGAGAGAAGACTATCGGAGCTAGCCACAGTCAATAAACGCAAATGACAATCAATCGACACATTTAAAGTTGAATAAAAAAAGTCCCTCTCATCTTTCATCAGGTGTGAGAAGCCTTCAGGTGTGAGAATTGTCCCTCTACTTTCTGGATTAGGAGGTCAAACAATACTAATATGGATTGATCGGGGTTGGTTAAAGAGAAAGGTGTAAAGTAAATGCCCTTCCCAGGGCTCTAACAGCATAATACTGGATTCAACTTTAATAGAAGCGAATAAAAATAACAGGTCGTTTATTTGTTTAGCACCGTCACTTTTCTTAAACTCACAAACTGCCATAGCGCAATCGAGCCTAAAATTCCAACTCACTGCAGTGTCGACTTTCCGTCCACTTCTTTAATACATAAAATGACATCCATCCCGTAGACAAAACTGGAGGAGGTTACGCCTGCTGTTGTAGTGTACATTTTGAAGCGGCATACGTGACTGCCCACTTAAGAAACTCGATAAATTCATGGCTGGAGCCCAGCAGAAGGTGATCTCTGTGGTCACATTCAGAACTTGCATGTTAGACGCAGTCCCGACATGGCTCTTCAAAGACATACTTCCTTTGATAATTGAGCCTATCGTAAATATAATAAACGCATCCATACAATGTGGCTATGTCCCACAAGCTTTTAAAACCGCGGTAATCAAACCCCTTCTGAAGAAAACAAACCTGGACCCAGAAATACTTACAAACTACAGACCGATCTCAAACCTCACTTTTATATCTAAAATCCTGGAAAAACTTATAGCTGAGCAGCTTCGCTGCCACCTGCAGGAAAATA